TAATGTGACTTTACCGAAACCATTTTGCATATATTACCTTCCTAATAATTAAGTTAATAGCTCAGAAATTATGATTATGACTTATGCAGTTTCCAGTTTGACTTAGAGGAAGAGAAATTGGACTTTATTTTTATTTGGATCAAGGGACTTAAGGCAGAGAATTAGAAGGTGCCTTGTATATTGATTTAAAAATGTGCTCTGGCTTTGGAAATCTTTTTTAAAAATTTTGTTTGTTAGAGCGCGCACACGCATGTGCATGTGCGTGCATTTGTGCACAGTGGGGGAGGGGCAGAGGGAAAGAAAGGGAAAGAAAGTCTCAAGGACGCTCTGCACCAGCCCATGGATCTCATGATCCTGAGATCATGACTGGACCCAAAACCAAGAGTCTGAGGCTCAACTGACTGGGCCACCCAGGCTCCCCTAGCTTTAGAAATCTTTGACACTCATTTCCCACAGTGCACTCTTCTCTTGCTTGTTTTAGAGTCATTTTCCTTTCATAAAATAAATTTGAAATTTCAAAAGGTATTTTAATTGTGAAAACACCAGGAAATTGGGAATGATTGTAAAACATGTAGTTCAAATACCACTTCCACTTTTTTTTTCCTCATGATAGAATTCTTAAGAGGATAGAGATTCATTTCACATTCACTGTACGTACTCTGAAATCATTAAATTTCAACAATTCTGTAATGTTTTCTGGGTGTGATTATTTATGGTTTGATCTTTTAGTATGTAATTTCATTAAGTAAATTTCCTTACTGATTGGCTTAAAAAAATCTATTTAATTGCCTGCATTCTTCTTCCTCAATTCCCTCATTTCCTCCAAATTTTGCTTTTCTACAGTGTGGGGTGTAATGCTTACCTCTTGAAGCCTCTGTCCTGCTTTAAAGAAGCATGTGTTTAAGTGAATAACAGTGAACTAATACATGACAGTGCAGATCGATATCTTGTGTTAGATAGTGTTTTCATATTTTCAGGTTCGGAGTCTATTTTTAGAATTATTAGCTAAGTGTAAACTAGCCTGAACTGATGGAGCTGATTGTTTTGAAAGTCCTTCTGTCGTTTTAGGCAGTTTATGCTTTTTCAGGATTTTGATTTTTACAGAGGAACCCCCTGGAGACCTTAGTTTCTGCTACTGTTTGGCAGACTGTAGGCATTCAGTAAATATCTGTCCAACAAACACATGTCTCCACCCTGAACATCTTTAATAAGACTGTTGGAAGTCCAGTTTTATTTAAAAATATTTAATTTTGATCAGTATTCAAGCACAAATAATCTCCCAAAATAACTTAAAACTGCTTAACTGCAGAGTGGAAATGGTGAAGGCACCAATTGTAAAGAATTTCTTGTTAATTTTTAGTGTCTACGTCAGCAAAGCTGTAGCTGTTGGCTGAGATCTGAAATAGAGCTATACTGTATATAGTCACGGAATTCATTATTCCTTGATAAAATGGGATTCTGAATGCAGAGTTCTTTCATTCTCTTAATTCATTAGTCAGCCCATGACTCACTTGAAAGATGGGGAGGTTGTTATTCTAGGCTGGTAATTATTTGCACTACAGATTTCCTTGAGCCCATACCTGGCTTTGAATTACTGTCACTGTGGTAAGATACTCTGCTTAAATAGTACTTTGACATAAAGTGAACCGTTTGTTTTGTTTTCAGCCCAAGCAGTACTTTGGTCCTAGGCAAAATATGAGCAATATTTCATATATAGTCTGGCCTGATCCTGGGGTTTACAATATTATTACCAGAGATAATATGTTTAGCTTTACCATCTTGGGTGAGTCATTTCTGAGAATTAGTTGAACAGGGCTAGATGTGGCTAGAAGAAAACCTTTGGGTTTTCTTAGAAGATTATTGTGAGATCTGATAGATTCAGAGATACCAGATTCAGATGTCTGTAGTAATATCCACGGGCATATATAAATGGTATTTTGCTTTTTTTCCACATTATTTCAGTATATGTTCTGTAGCTAATATGGGAAACTGTTTTCTCTCCTGTAGCCTTTAGTGCCCCTTCTGATTTCCTCCTTTTCCTTTCACTAGTTGAGATTTGGCTTATCCCACCTTTCTCACTTGCTCATTACTTTTTACATTAAGGATTTCTCTCTCTCTCTCTCTCTTTCGCTTTTTTTTTTTTTTGGCCCCTCCCTCTCCTCTGTGACTTTCAGCCATGGCTTCTTCCATATTGCTGCCATTCTGACTTGTCCTTGAATCCCAGTTCTTAAATCCTGTCTATGCAACTTGCCTCTGAATTTGTTTTTTGATATTTCAAATGGGGAAAAGTTATACCTACACCACATGGTGGTGTATTAGTTTCCTAGGACTGCCATATGAATTACCATACACTGAGTGGCTTAAAACAACAGGAATTTATTATCTCCTAGTTCTGGAGGCCAGGAGTCTGAAATCCGTTGTTGTCAGGACTATGCTCCCTCTGGAGTCTCTCGAGGGGGATCCTTCCTTGCTATTTCCAGCTTCAGGTGCCTGTGGCATTTCTTGCCTTCCTGGGCTTGTGGTCGCATCACTCCAGTCTCTGCCTCCATCTTTTCCTTGTTCTCTTCTGTGCCTCTGTGTGTGTGTGTGTGTGTGTGTGTGTGTGTGTGTGTGTGTAAAATATCCCTTTCCTTTTTCTTATCTGAGCATTTGTCATCGGATTTAGAGCCCACCCAGATAATCCAGGATGATCTCCTCATCTCAAGATCCTTAATTATATCTGCAAAGACTCCTTTTCCAAATAAGATAATATTTTCACGGCTTCTGGGAATTAGAATGCACATATTTTTGGGGGTACCCCATACAACCTGCTACATACACGCACACGTGTGCACACACTCAGGGAAGGGCAGACGGGGAACGAAAGGGAAAGAATTTCACGGGGACCGTGTGTGCTGTGCACAGAGAAATGTACAGATAGAGGCAGAGACTGGAGTGATGTGACCATGAGCCCAGGAAGGCAAGAAATGCCAGCAGGCACCTGCCTGATACAGGGGCTCTCTCTCATGACCCTGAGATCATGACCTGAGCTGAAACCAAGAGTCAGATGCTTAACTGCCTAAGCCATCCAGGCGCCCTTCCCTTCTCTTTAGAAGCCTCTGCCCACCAGCATTCTCCATGCCGGCATGATTTTGGCAGTTAGTACAGACATATCTCATTTTATTATGCTTCACTTTATTGTGCTTTGTAGATAATGGGTTTTTATAAATTGAAGGTTTGTGGCAATCTTATATTAAGCAAGCCTGTTACTGCCATTTTTCCAACAATCTCTGCTTACTTCATGTCTCTGTGTCACATTTGATAACTGTAATATTTCAAACCTTTTCATTATTATGATATTTGTTATGGTCATCTGTGTTCTTTGATAATACTGTTGTAATTGTTTTGGGTATCATGAACTTTGTCCGTATAAGACAGCAAGCACACTTAATTGATAAAAGCATGTGTTCTGACTGCTTCACTGATGGGCCATTCCCCATCAGTCTCCCTCTCCTTGATCCTCCCTGTATTCCCTGAAACACAACAGTATTGAAAATAGGCTAATTAATAATCCTACAGTGGCCTCTAAGTGTTCACCTCAAAGGAAGTCCCATGTCTCTCACTTGGAATTAAAAGCTAGAAATGAGGGGTGCCTGGGTGGCTCAGTGGGTTAAGCGTCTGCCTTCGGCTCAGGTCATGATCTCAGGGTCCTGGGATGGAGCCCCGCATCAGGCTCTCTGCTCAGCAGGGGGCCTGCTTCCCCCTCTCTCTCTGCCTGCTTCTCTGCCTATTTGTGATCACTCTTTCTCTCTGTCAAATAAATAAATAAGATCTTAAAAAAAAAAAAAAAAGCTAGACATGATATGCTTAATGAGAAAGGAATGTCGAAAGCCAGTAGGCAGGATGGACCCCTTGCACCAAATAGCTCAGATATGAATGCAGAGGAATGATTCTTTTTTTTTCTTCTTTTCTTTTCTTTTCTTTTTTCTTTCCTTTCCTTTCCTTTCCTTTTCTTTTTTTAAAAGATTTTATTTATTTCTTTATTTATCACAGAGAGAGAGAGAGCACAAGCAAGCAGAGTGGCAGGCAGAGGCAGAGAGAGAAGCAAGCTCCTTGCTGAGCAAGGAACCGGATGTGGGACTCGATTCTGGGACCCTGGGCTCATGACCTGAGCTGAAGGCAGAGGCTTAACCAACTGAGCCACCCAAGTGTTCTGTTCTTTTCTTTCTTTTCTTTTCCTTCCTTTTCTTTTCTTCCCTTCCTTCCTTCCTTCCTTTCTTTAAGATTTTACTTATTTGAGAGAGAGGGCATGAGCAGGGCAAAGGGAGAGGGACAAGCAGACTCCCCACTGAGCTGCCCCCCCCCCCCCACCTGACACAGGGCTTCATACAGGGCTTAATCCCAGGACCTTGAGATCATGACCCGAGCCAAAGGCAGGTGCTTAACCCACTGAGCCACCAGGCCGCCTAGAGAAATGGTTCTGGAAGGAAATGAAAAGTGTTACTCCAGTGAGCACATGAGTGATAAAAATGAAACAATCTTGTTGCTGAAGTGGAAAAAGTTTTAGTGGTTTGGTTAGAAGATCCAACCAGCGACAACAGTCCCTGAAACCAGAGCCTAGTTCAGAGCCAGAGCCTGCCTCTCTTCAATTCCATGAAGGTGGAGAGAGGTGCGGAAGCTGCGAGAGAAAAGTCTGAAGCCGGCAGAGAGTGGTTCATGAGGTTTAAAGGAAGAAACCGACAGAGTAAGGTGGAAGCAGCAAGTGCTGATGTAGAAACTGTAACAGGTGATCCAGAAGGTCTAGTTAATTAATGAAGGTGGCTACACTAAACAACAGATTTCCAGTGTAGACAAAACAGTTTTCTATTGGAAGACAATGCCTTACGACCTTTATAGGTAGAGAAGGGGACTTAGTGCCTGGTTTCAAAGCTTCAGAGAACAAGTGGACTTTCTTGTTAGGTGGGGGCTAATGGAGCTGGTGACTTCAAGTTGAAGCCATTGCTCATTTTCCATTCTCTAAGTCCTAGGATCCTGAAGAATTATGCTAAATCTACTCTGCCTGTGCTCTAGAAATGGGAAAACAAAGCCTTGATGAGAGCAAATTTTCTTACAACATGGTTTACTGAATATTTTAAGCCTACTGTTGAGACATCCTGCTTAGAAAAAAAGGTTTCTTATAAAATATTGCTGCTCGTTGACAATGTACCTTGTCACTCAAGAGCTCTGATGGAAGTGTGCGATGAGGTAAGTATTGTCTTTCCTGCTAACATAACATCAGTTCTGGAGCTCATGGGTCAAGGAATCATTTTGACTCTCAAGTCTTATTTAAGAAATAAATTTCATAAAGCTTTACCTGCCATACACAGTGATTCTTCTGATGGATCTGGGCAAGGTAAATTGAAAACCTTCTGGAAAAGATTCCCCTTTTTAGATCCCAATAAGAACATTTATGATGGGAAGGGGTTCAAATATCAGCATTACCAAGAGTTTGGAAAAAGTTGTTTTCCTCCCTGATGGAGGACTTTGAGGGATTCAAGACTTCGTGGAGGCAGTCACTGGAGATGTGGTGGAAAGAGCAAAAGAACTAGAATCAGAAGTGGAGCCTGAAGATGGGACTGAACTCCTGCAGTCTCATGAGGAAACTTGAACGGATGAAGAGTTGCTTCCTACGGATTAGCAAGGAAAGTGGTTTCTTGAGATGCTTCTACTCCTGCTAAAGATGCTGTGAAGATTGTTGAAATGACAATAAGAGATTAGAATATGATATAAATTTAGTTGAGAAAGCAGTGGCAGGGTTGGAGAGGATTGACTCTAGTTTTGAAAGAAGTTCTAGTGTGGGTAAAATGCTATCAAACAGTGTTAGTGTGCTACTGAGAAATCACTGATGAAAGGAAGAATCATTTGATGTGGCAAACTTCATTATTATCTTATTTGAAGAAGTTACCACAGCCACGCCAACCTTCAGCAATCACCACCCTGATTGATCAGCAGCTATCAACACTGAAGCAACTCTCCATCAGCGAAAAGGGTATTACTTGCTGAAAGCTCAGGTGATGATTAAGATTTTTTTTGGCAATAAAGTATTTTTAAATTAAGGTATGTGCATTGATTTTTAAGACATAATGCTATACTATAGTATAAACTTTTATATGCACTGGGAAATGAAAACATTTATTTGACTCAATTAATTGCAGTATTTGCTTTATTGTGGTGGTCTGCGGCAGAACTGCCATGTCTCTGAGGTATGCCTGCGCTCACCTCAGAACATTCCCTCTCCGCTTCATCCCCCACTGATGCCCCATTGGTAGCCATCAGGCAGTCTGGGGCTTGTCTTCCATCCTCCCTTGTCTGGCCACATCAGGTCCTCGTAGTTGTGACCTGCTCTCCCTTGCACCTCCCCAGACCACAGTCTTCCTAACCCTTACACTTCTGGGACTTTCTCACTTATTGTTAACATGACTTCTTTTTTTTTTTTAAGATTTTATTTATTTATTTGAGAGACAGATCACAAGCAGGCAGAGAGGCAGGCAGAGGGAGAGGAAGGGAAACAGGCTCCCTGCTGAGCAGAGAGCCTGATGCGGGGCTCGATCCCAGGACCCTGAGATCACGACCCAGGCCGAAGGCAGAGGCTTTAACCTACTGAGCCACCCAGGAGTCCCTTCTTATCTTCACAATGACCTCGAGTCCCTCCCCTCTTTCCTCCTATTTTTTTTCTCACTGTCCATCCACTTAGACCTTGACAAATTATTTTTCATTGTTGCCAAACTCTACTCAAGTTGGATTGTTGACTCCTGGATGTGCTGTGTGCCCGTGCACCCCAGAGCCTCTGCTTATGTGGTCCCCTCAGTGGAACTGTTCCTTTCCATCCTTCCTCCTATTTCGTTCAGTACCTTAGAGTTAAATTTACTCTTTCTTCCCTCTGCTTAGGCCACAGTCATGCTCAGTTTTCTCCCGTCTAAAAAAAACTTCCTTGACTTTGCTCTCACTTCTCTTTTCTTAAAATTGCTTTTACTTTGTCACTATCCTCTTTATTCTTTGCTACTTGCCTTTTGTTTCCATTGCTTTCCAGAAACTCTTCTTTTAAAGATTGACAGTGATCTCCTACAGCATTTTTAAGAGGCTGCACTGTATGGTGGTAAGGAGCAAGACTGGAGCCAGCCTGCTGGGGTTTGAATTCTGGCTCCACCACCGGCTAATAACTGTACAACCTTGAGCAAGTTATATAACTCCATTGTTCAATTTCTTGATCTGCAAAATGGGAATAATATTAGTACGTACCATTATAGGGTTGCTTGTAAGGATTAATTAGGTTAGTATATGTAAAGCTCTTCTAAGGATGCTTGACAAAGGGTATGTACCAACCATTAGTGTTTTATTTTTTTTTAACTATTATTTTTTAGTCTTTCTTTTTAGCCTCTGTGGTATTTGATATGGTTGACCATTTCCTCTTCACTGTGTTCAAGCTCAGACTAATTCATCTGGGGCCTTTTATCTTTGTGACCCTCTTTGTGGTCTCTTTCCATGTGTCTGAACTGTGCTTTCTTATCCCTTTTCTGGATAATTTTTCCTTATGGTGATTGACCACTATAGTTCCTACCCTTATAGGAATGTCACCCCAAATTGTATTTTTTGCCCTTTCTTAGCTCCAGTCCTGCACTTACAATGTACCTAACCAACATAATCTCCCTCTTAAAATCAGCTCCTGGCTGGATTACTTTTTGTTAACAGACCTGTGGCAGTGTATCATAGTATGGGACCAGGGGGATGCTGTGTCTGAAACCTCTGAAGCTCTGGAAAGCTTTCCAGATCAGTGCAGACTGGCACATTCTCTTTGTCCGGAATACTGTTCTCAGTGAACAGAGCTGGATGTGGAAAGGGTTGGGGAGACACATTACTATCAAGTGCATTCCTTAGTTTCCTTAAGCCGAGAATTAAATCTCTTGCTTCACAAACCGAAGGTAGAATGTCTAGCTGTTGTAAACTTGATTTTTGAGTGGTTTTTTTTTTTTTTTAAGTTGTAGGTATTCCGCTCCCCCTGCCCCCACCGCCCCGCAAAGCAGACCTAGGTAAATAAGTTAAATGTATGTCTGACAAAGAAGAGGCAAATAGCAAATTAACTAGAGTAGAGAACAGGACATGATTTTAATTAAGCAGTGGTAGCTTTTTTTTTAGTGTATTTCTGAGTTCTCTAAATACTAAAGGGCAAAGCTAATAAAGATTTCCTTGTTTTCTGAAATGCAATTTCTCTTACTTGGAATAGAAATTTTTGACAAAGATTTCCTCTAACTTGCTGGTTTACCAAGAAGATGTACTTAATAGTAATTGGTGGTCATATAGTTATTTGAGTGTGGATTAACAGCTTAAGATGTCTGGAAATCCGACAGTTGGAACCACTCTCATTCTCGGTTAGTGTGCCTTGCAAAACTTTGACACACCGCATTCTTCCTGTTGACAACGACTATTTAAACAAAACACCTTCGTTCCCTAATGGGTTTTGATCTTTAGGGATTAAACCCACGAGGACTATTAACCTAAGGACTGTAACTCAATTAGCTGTAAATGATTTAAAATAAACTAATAGATTCTCCATTTGGAGAGCTTGGTGTCTTGCCTTCCTTAAGTTTTTCTCCATCCATCTAATGAATAGTAAATGTATTCTTTTGTCACAGTTGTCATCAGTCTTGTTTTGTGTTTTTTCTTCCCTATATAAGTTTGTTACCTGATGTTTTGGAAGTTTTTAGGATAATTTACTTTGAGGATTCTTCTTTTCTATACCAGATCTTTTCTTTGCTGCTCAAGTCTGACTTGGCTTCCCGATGTCAGACAATATTCTTTATGTGAATAGGTGTGTTAAAGATTCAGTTTCCAGGGCACATGGAAGTGCACTGATGGTCTCACCTATCGCATCCTGGCTTGGGCCAGTATTGTTTTGAGCCACTCAGTTCCACTGCCCCTTGACAGGTCCTCTCTATGGTTTGGTGCAGAACAGATGTTACAAGATATTAGATCACTGATAACAAATTTCATGTGTAACTTTAGGATTCAGTGATCCAAGGTGTTGTAAGTTAGAATTAGTTTTCTATTTGATGGTTTTCCTCTGCATCATTTCGCTTGAATTTTAGGTCTTGGCTTTTGCTAGTGTTAGTTGTCTTTTATTGAATGTTTTTCTGCATTTTTGGTTAGCTCTTCTTTTTGTTTTCATTTTTCACTTTATCTCTTCTTTCTTTTAGAGTCTACTGAAGAGTAAAACTTCAATAAAAACTTGTATTTGTAACCTGAGGGGTGTAATAAATTCAAGTCTAAACAAGTTATATCTAATTATAGGACTGCTTTCTAGAGAGGATGTAGACACGCTCTTAAAAATGATTGAGGTAAACTTATGTGAAGTTGAGTTTCTGTTGTTTTCTCTGTTACGGATTGAAGGTAAAAGGAGAAGTATTATTGTACTCTGCTTCTCTAGTTTATTTATTGTCTTTTGTACTTTGAGCATGTTAAAATTTACATAAAAAATGGGAAAGGAGGGACATCTGGGTGGCTCAGTCATTATTAACCATCTGCCCTCAGTTCAGGTCATGATCCCAGGCTCCTGGGATCAAGCCCCCACATCAGGCTCTTTCCTCAGCAGGAAGCCTGCTTCTCTCTCTCTCTCCCCCTGCTTATGTTCCTTCTCTCCTGGTGTCTCTCTCTGTCAAATAAATAAATAAAATCTTTAAAAAATGGGAAAGGAGGGGGTGCCTGAGAGGCTCAGTCAGTTAAGGGGTTAAGCAGTTAAGCTTCTGCCTTCAGCTCAGGTTATGATCTTGGGGTCCTAGGGATGGATCCCCTCATAAGGCTTCCTGCCCAGCAAGGAGTCTCCTCCTCCCTCTCCCGCTGCCCCTCTCCCAACTCACGCACATGTGTGCTTTCTCTCTCATATACTCTCTCTCAAATAAGGCAATAAAATCTTTAAAGGTGGTAGTAAACATCACATTTTGCTCATTTCTCTGTAGCAACTCAGGGAAGTAGAGCAGGGCCCAGAAAATGAGTTGCATTTAACATTTTTTATTTTGGCATTCATTTTTTGAGAGCATCATTACAGTGTTCAGGGCTGACTTATTTTAAAATTGGAAGAGTCATTAACTGAGACTTGCATTTTTTTGGTTTTGCCTTGAAAATGATCCTCTTCCTCTTGAATGAATGGAATGTATGATTTTTTTGGCTGTGTGCTTGGAGAATGGAGAGTAGAAAGGGCTTTAGAGAACATCTAAGGCAATACACCGACTGTTTTAGGTGAGGAAACTGAGATTCAGTGAGTTGTCTAGAGTTGTGCATTGTGCTTGCGGAATCAGGACCGAGAAAGAAAGGATCTTTTGATTACCCCTGTGCTTCTCTGAGGAGTCCTGGCATCTCAGAAGGCAGAGATTTTTGTCATCTTTGTCAATTGACCAGTTTCTCCCAAAGCAAGAAATTAAGGGCCTAGTTTTGAAGCACTTAACACAAAGAATTAAATGTACCAACTTGAAAATGTACATTGATTTTGAGTTTGTCTGCTTTTACCATTCTGGTAGATAAATTTGTGATTGAAAGGGAGTATAAAAGTTCTTAAGTAATTAACTCAGTGGAGAGAAATTACCAAAATAGGTATTGATTCTAGGTCATTCTGCCCCCTAACTCTCCTTCCCCAAACACAGTGAGAATTTAGGAGAATTTAGGAGACCCATTGCAAGAGTCATATTCATACTAGCTGTTATGGTGATTTATGATATATTTACTATTAGGTAAGGAATACTTGCTCTTTTTTTTTTTTTTAAAGATATTATTTATTTATTTGACAGACAGAGATCACAAGTAGGCAGAGAGGCAGGCAGAGAGAGAGGAAGGAAAGCAGGCTCCCCGCTGAGCAAAGAGCCCGATGCGGGGCTCGATCCCAGGATCCTGGGATCATGACCCGAGCTGAAGGCAGAGGCTTTAACCCACTGAGCCACCCAGGCGCCCCAGGAATACTTGCTCTTGTGGAGTTTTGGGTTTGAGGAAGTTAATGTAGAATTAGAGAAAGTATACTATGATTGTATGTTTGTAATAAAATGCCTTTTTGAAATGTATAAGTATATTTTATGGTAGAAAATCATTTATGGATAAAGGAATTCATTATGATATTCATTTAGTCTCATTCTATTTGATGGGATATCACTACTTGAATTTTTCATTTTTATTGTTTTAAAAACTGTTTTTATAAGTTTGTTTCTTTTCTTTCTTTCTTTCTTTTTTTTTTTTTTTTTAGGAAATCTCTAATACCTAATGTGGGGTTCAAACTTACAACCCCAAGATCAAGAATTGCATGCTCTTCTGATTGGGCTCACCAGGCACCCCTGTTTTTTTAAGTTTTTGATAATAGGAAATAGTCATTTTGTATTTCTGTGTTCCCTTTGGACATGCTAACTGAGTCAGTTTGGGTTTACTGGGCTGTTCCCCAGTCCAAATATTATTTTATTAAATTAGGAAAAAAAAGCTTACTGAGTCATGATGTTTCCTCTCTTTCCTTTTTATAGCCAACACATATCTCTTTATGGTACAAGCTCGAGGAATAATGTTGAGAGAAAATGTGAAAACAATAGGACATATGATCAGGCTGTACACAAATAAAAACACTACCCTCAATGGTACAGGTAAGATTCCTTGCTTCTTCATCATGCTTTGTTTCTGCTTCTTACCTTTGTAGTTGCAAGAAGTAAACCAGATCCCTCAAGCTCTGAGACTCCTGTTAAAGATGAAGGTATCTCCTACCACGTGTACTGGGAGATTAATTCGCTGCTTGGGCCAGACTGTCCATGTTTTAGGATCTATAAAGGTGTTCTCACAGAGGCGATGGGGGTTTTGTACGAAGATATGGGACTTAATTCTTTTTTATTAAACTTAATTCTTGCAAACATAAAGTACAAAAAGCAGCGTGTGCTTTTTCAGTTCACCTATCGTAGTTAAAATCAACTGCAGAAAGAACAATTTATCCGTATTAGTCATTCCGCCATCTCTCTTTATGCCTATTCTAACTCCTAAAATGGTTTTCTAACTCTGTTTAGTAAATACTTATGTTTTTAATTGTAGAAGATTCTTAATAATTTTATGGCTTTTTTAGGGGGCTTAAGGAGAAATTATATAAAAGCGGAAATCCGTAGCTGCTGTTTTCCTTTAAAAATATTATCTGGAAGTAGAATGTCCGTCACAATCACATGAGGTTAAAACCAAGTATTGGGCCAATATTAGGGACTGAATGAAGGCAGAATTGAGGCAAATACATTGAACTATCATGGAAGAATGCTCAGCCTCCCACGGGGCAGTGTTTCTGCAGTGACTTCTGAAGTGTTATTGGACGTTACTTAAAGGTTTCAATAACTGGTTATCACTTGTTGCATCCTTTATATTCTCATTTTATTTTTATTTATTTATTTTTTTAAAGATTTTATTTATTCATTTGACAGACGGAGATCACAAGTAGGCAGAGAGAGGCAGGCAGAGAGAGAGAGGAGGAAGCAGGCTCCCGCGGAGCAGAGAGCCCGATGTGGGGCTCGATCCCAGGACACTGGGATCATGACCTGAGCCGAAGGCAGAGGCTTTAACCCACTGAGCCACCCAGGCGCCCCTATATTCTCATTTTAAACAGTTAAAATTTAAGATTTCATTCCTGTCGACAGTTCTCCATTGTGCCACCGTAAATGACAGATACGCACACACACATGCACACACTATCTGCCAACCACAGATGTTCTTTCTTAAAATGTATGTTACGGTGGGTAATAGTTTTACCCTTCTAAAAATTCAAGACTGTATCAGATTGATTCTTAATTTCACACGTGCATTTGCAAAATTCAGTTTAGTCATTTGTCTGATTTGTTTTATGATGCCGCAAGTCAAAACACTCTTGTTTCTCCCTTTTAAGTCGAAGGACGTTTCTTTTAGAAAGACTGTCATTGTACCTGATATTTTAATAGTATCGTAAAAATCTCCTTAACTGGTCTTCTGCTTTAATTGGTCTTCCGAATAGTAGGTCAATGTTAGGAGCATTTTAAACATTATAAAAGATTCTTTAGGACTTGTTCTGGTTGAATAAGCTGATTGTGAAGTGTTCATTAAAACTTTACTCAACTGGACAGAAGTACTCAGCATCCTCAGACTACTGTGTTTCTATCAGGTAGTGCTGGACATCGGTGCATAATCGAGTTCCTTTCCTGGGGCATGAATAAGTTTCATGTGGGAACTCAGTTGAGCTTGATTAGGAGAATTGATTACTGGGTTAAGACAAACTCTCCCCGCCCCCCAACCCCCCACCCCACAAGTGGAAGACAAGAAGAAGGGAAATCCTCTTTTCCCCTTACCAACTCAGTTTCAATACTGACCAAACAACCACTGCCTACTTGGATTAGATTTGGTTTACTTTGATGAACCTTTGAAAATTTTTCTCATGGTTCATTTACTGGTGGTAAACTCTTCTGTCATTGTATCAGCTAGGAATTGGGTTTGGCTTTAAGAGGGACCTGGCTGCAGTGGCTTAAGCCCATGAGACTCCACCTTCTTATGTAAAAGAGACCTGGAAGTTGGATGTCTGGGGCTGTGGTGGAGAAAGTCTCCACACACCTTCCATCTTCTGCTCTCTCATGGAGTTTTATAGTCTTCGAAGGTTGTTGTGGTGCTCCAGTCTTTCTATTTGTACTTGGGTTAGTAGGAAGAAGGAAAGGAAGAAGGAAGAAGAACAGAGGGACCCTTTTAAGGAGACTTTCCAGAAGTTTCACGTGGTATTTCTGCTTCCATCGCATTGGCCAGAACTTTGTTGTAGGGACTGTAAATTATGAACTGGGCATACTGGTGCTTTGAATGAAATTGGGGTTCTGCTACTTGATGAGAAAGGGAAAATAGAGTTTGAGGAGGCAACCATGAGACTCTGCTGTGTTCATGTACATTGAACAGTTCATGTTGTCAGTATTCTTACCTCGATACTTAGAGACACAGCACTAAGAAGAACATCCTCCCTTTGTATGAGGATCTCTTTTGAGAGAGATGGAAGCATACATAGTTACTTATAATGAAGTTGTTTATTTCTGCACAAACTTATATAGATATAATCTGCTAGTAAGGAGATAATGGCCAGTAAGGTGTATTGAGAGCTAACTGAAGACTGGGGGAGAATTGATTAACATGTGCTAGCGCATTTAAAATTTAACACTTGATCGCAAATAGGTTGCGATATTTCTAAGAACATTTGATTTCAAAAAGGGGTTTTTAACCTTGTACTTGACTTTCTGAAACACCAAATGTAAAGAAGTACTACATATAATATTTTTGCAAAGACATCACATACTCTCATCATCAAATGATGCTTTGCCTTGTAGCTATGGAGTTAGTCAAATTAAGGAAACAAGATGTAATCAGTGAATAATTACTGAAGCAGATGATAAGGGTCATGCAATGTTAGAACTGGTAGATTTGTTAGAAATAGCCGAGCGCACCTCCTGTTTGATGGCTGTGTGGTCCAAACCCTCAGACACTGCCAGGCTAACAGAGCAAGCCAGGGGTAAACAGACTAGAATTCTCACTGAGTTTCTGTCCCCGCTTTAAGCTGCCCTTTGCAGGAAGAACAAAGCCCTTGCGAATCCAGTTTGGTGCTCTTCTCCTTTTCCTGTAAGTGGTAAGTTCCAGTGAGAGCTGAGGAGGGGACCTGTCCAGCAGTTTTCATTCTGTGTCTCTCTTCTCTTTAGGTGTGGCTCTAGAAAAGAGAAAGAAGGCTCGGGCCCAGAACTCATTGTGTTTTCACCCATCCATTCATTAGATGAAATAATGTCTACATTTTAAAGCAGTTGTGGTAGATCCGCCTCAAATGCATCTATCATGCGTAATGCTCCTGATTTTGAAAGCAGTGGTTATACTTGATGGACCCAAGCACTTTTGTGGGAATAATGATTTTGTGGGTTTATTACAGTATAGTCTCCAAAAGCTTAAATTATTGTTGGCTGAATGATCAGTTGTGAAGAGTTCACTTACAGTAAGTTTTTACCATGTTGTAGATACTTTGTTTGATACTGGAAATCAAAGGCAGTTTGATTAAAAAAAAAAAAGTATTCAGACTAGTGGCGGGGAGTGTGTGGGTAGACTTATACATAATACATTGGGATGACATAAGCACCACTGGACGTAGTACCCAAGGAGTGCAGAGACTTTTCTGTAAGTCTGGCAGTGAGTTGGTCGTTATGATCATTTGTAATGATTTAGCCAAGAATAACACATTTAGCTCCAAAACTTTGTATTTAAAGGAAGTGAATATACTGCTATTCCGTGTGTCTTTGAGTTTTTTATTTTTAATCTAGTCCTTTAAAAACTGATCAAAGTGATACATGGGTTTTTTTTGTGAAAGACTCAGTCATTCTAGCACTAAAATAAAAAGTGAAACAGTCCTCTAGGCCTTCTGCTGCCACCAGACTCCCCAGGGGGAGCTTCCGTTAACAGTTTGTTTTGCAGAAATGTCTAGAGAGCTTACGATTTCTGTGAATTGGATGCAGATTTATAGAATCATAGCATGTAGCTAAGAGAAGGGGCCCAAACATTAATCACGAGAAAGAATAAGTTATGCAAAAGAAGAAAATACTCTCATCTAAAGTTAACTACATAACATTAAGAAATACTTAAGAATTTTGAGAATGTTAATATTTATCCTCAGGATTATAAGAAAATCAATCTTTGGAACACGTAAAGGTCAGGGACAACCTTAATTATCTTCTGTTTTTAGCTCCCACAAATGCATAGACTATAGTGGCTGCCTAGTATAGTAGGAGTCCCCATAAATGCAGAAAAATTTTTTGAATATAACTTAAAATTTGACCTGTATCTAGATATATTTTTTAAAAGCATCTTAAAGAATCAGAACTTCAATGGACTTAAACTTATTTTATGTTCAGTATCTTTAAAATGTTTCAGATGTATATGGGGGACACATGGAGGAGTATGGATTACTAGAGGGGTCTCTGCTCTTGGTGCATCCCTGGGCTTACAAAACAATTGCTGTGCACTGAACGCCCCTCCCTTTTGGCTTGGAGCATTTTCCTGTGAAGTGCTTTCTAGGGCTGCTCTGGAGAGAGCTCCTGGGGGGATTCTGTCACTGGGGCTTTCACACTTTCCCGCTTCCTGGAATCGGCATTAGCGGTTGTACATCGTTCAGCACTCCTTATCATCTTGGTGTTTCCTGTCAATAAGTACACTTATCTTAAAACCTCCCCCATGCCCTGCCAAATCACAACTGGGATTTCCATGTGGTGCTTTGGAATTGGACCTTCTCCTCCAGCTTCTGTCCCCTCGTTCGTACCGGAAACCCTTACCCTCCACTTAGGAGGCTCTACAGGGTTCCTTCCAGCAGGCATGCCTGTGCTTGGAAGTGCCATCCTGGAGCCCAGGCTGTACCCCTGTCAAGTCCATTTTGATGATGGATGGATAACTGTGGTAGGCAAAAGGTATTCAGGGTGGTGTTTAGTGTTCTTTGACTCTTCTCATATACTTCATATTCAATTGCCAGGATTCTACCATTTTTCCCTAGGGAGAGGGTTTAGCTTTTATAGGTTAGTTGGTGTGTGATTTTTACCTTTCGCCTTTTGCTTGCTGGTCACTGGCAGACAGGCCTCTCTTTCAAGTCGTATGCCTGTTCTCCTCTTTCTTACCTCTCTGCCTGCAGACCAGTTCAGATAGGAATAACTCTGTCATCAGAGCAGATTCCTGGAGATTGAGAGGACCTCTTCGCATTTTCCTCAAGTATCTGCTAGAGCTTCATTTCCTGTGGGTACATAATTTATGATCCAGGAGACAGACACTTGTTGAATCAGCTGTTTCCATGTGTTGTCTCTTACCACCATGTGTTGTCTTGTCCTCTTAGACTGGCTTCCTCTGACATAGAGGAAACTGTCAGTTCATGGTTCTCAGACTTGCATTTCAGAACCTTGTTCCAGAAAGGGCTGAAACACGATCTCTTTGGCTTCAAGTTCAATTTCTAAGATTCTGAATGTCCTGGGTTAAGTCCTATGCACGGCTCTGAACCAGTCACTCACAGCTCCAGCTGTGGGATTATTGTAAGCAGTTTGTGCATTTCTCTTATTGAAATCTGGAAACGGCTACATGCGGTAGGTAGAGAAGAGAAACTACATTGTCTGGCCCTGTACCACAAAGCTCGTGCATGTCGGAGCAAGGATTTGAACTCCACATTTGACTGTGGAGCTCTAACCAGTGCCCTCCATGCTGTCAAACTTGTAGTAGCGAGTGATAATGGACCTAATGTAACGCACAGCCCAGGGCTCCCTAGGGATGGCAGCCTACGAGTTGGGAACTTAAAGATTTAAAATGGACTGCGTTACGGAAGTAAGTTGAGTGGGTCAGTCTAAGTTTCTTAAGTGTCGGGTGGTGAGAAAACATGACTCCCACTCCTCAGCTTGGTGCTTACTAGAAGCATTGTGCTGTGGCTCTGTGGTCTCCAGGATGCCTTTGGCCATCGATGCTGGAGGGGATCCCCTGGTGTACTTTTCCAGTCTCTTTTGATCTTGCTCAGCTGGGGGAAGGATGGGAGCAGGTGTGTTCATATGGCCACAGATGAGCCTGCTCTGTATGTGTGTACAGATGAGGCCAGGCTGCTCTCTAACCTTGTCCCCGAGCTCCCCTGGGAAATCACGCCGAGAGGTCCTTTCTAGTAGCAGTGACGGGTGATTGGGAGAGTAGCCATGGCAGCCGCGCTTGCTTTTCCTTTGTTCTTTATAGATAACTGCTTTTAAGTATTTCTGTAGGTTGCATGTTGCAAGTCTTCTTGCAGCGATAGTGACATATTTCATGCTAGGAGCAAAGAAAATGGCAGTTTTTCGGTTGTAACTTTTTTCCTCTCTCTCCAAGATTATCCTGAAGGCAATAATTCAAGTGATTATCTTGTTCAAACAACAACATACCTACCGGAAAACTTCACATATTCACCATATCTACCCTGCCCAGAAAAACTGCCTTATATGCGTAAGTGTCATCTAATTTTGACTTAACTGTTTGCTTGTGTTATAGTAAAATAATAAAAACCACGTAGTTTGAGCACTCCATGCTCAGATCATCACTGTGGGTGCTAATGTTCATGTTACATAGCATATTACGCGATTTTTTTTTTTTTTATGAAGTTTTTTTTTTGGAAGGGGAGGGGGATTGAAAAACTGTAGAAAAAGCTCATCCTTTACCCACAAGTAACCTCTATCGTGAGTTTGATTTGTATTCTTACAGGTTATTTAAAAAATTTTTTTTACATAAATAGATGGTTAGATAGAAAGTTGTAATGTTGCAAAGGTTTTAAAAATTTGTATAAGTGGTCTTAAAGTTATGTAAAGTCTGTAATTTGCTTGCTTTTTAAAGAACTGTCCATGTTGATACATACAGATCTATTTATTTTCCGTAGCTACTGTATAGTACATCTTTGAATAAATGTACCACATTTCAGTTACCTTTTTCTCTGCTGATGGAAATTTATGTTATTTCCGCTCTTTTGCTATCACAAAGTAGTAGCATAGGGAGCAGCGTAGTACAGAGTTCTCTGCACATGGTGTGCATGTGTTTGGGGGTTCAGACCTAGAACTGCAGTTGCTCTATAGGCTGGCTTGAATTTACACCAAAGCAGCTGGACCAATTTATATCCCCAACAGCAGAGCACGAGTGTACCATGTTGATATGGATGGACATTAAAATTTTTGCTAATCTGAGGAAAATATTTTTTCTCATATGGTAGTTAAGAACTGGTATCTCATTGTTTGAATTTTCACTTTTCTTATTATTAGTAGGTTCAAGTAACATTTTTAAAAAAGATTTATTTGTTTATTTGAGCGAGAGAGTGAGTAAGTAGAGCACAAGCAGGGGGAGGGGCAAAGGCAGAGGGAAAGAGAACCTCCAGCAGATTCCCCACTGAGCACGGGGCTGAGGTGCACAGGGGTTCAGTGTCATGACCTTGAGATCATAACCTGAGCTGAAATCAAGAGTCAGACACTTAACAGAGTGAGCCACCCAGGCGCCCCTCAGTAATTTTAGATGTGTTTATGAGTGGTTTTACATTTTCTCTCCTGTGACTAAGTCCTGTGCTTTATCAATTCCATATTGATTAATTAGGTTTTCATATTAATTGTTGTAAGTTCTTTACGTATATTCCAACAGTGACCTATTATCTGCTGTATGTGGCGTAACAGGTTTTCAAAGTCCCTGGCTTGTCTTTCCATTTTGTTTATGGGAACTTTTATAGAAGTTATATTTATAATGTTTCTAAGTGTATCAGTGATTTTTTTAAAGTTGTTGCTTTTTGGTCTTAAGAAAGCTTTCCTTATTACTTGAAGGCCATACAAATACTCTTATTTCCTTCTAACAGTTTTACCATTTTGTATTTAGCTTTCTTTTAAAGATTTTTTTTATTTATTTGAGAGAGAAAGACTAGAGAGAGAGAGAGCACAAGTGGGGGATACAGGGAAAGGGAAAAGCAGACTCCATGCCGAGCAGGGAGCCCGATGCATGACTCAATCCTAGGACCCTGGGATCATGACCTGGACAGAAGGCAGCTGCTTAGCTGACTGAGCCACCGAGGTGCCCCCAATTTTAAGCATACTCTTTATATATAAGCCTGTACGTTAATTTTTATATAACTAAAATTTAAATGAACATCTTTGTGAATTGCTTGTTTACCCTTGGGTTCTAAAATGGTATCTGAATGTGTTTTTTATGTCTTTATGTGAGTATTCTTTTTTTTTTTTTTAAAGATTTTATTTATTTACTTGACAGAGATCACAAGTAGGCAGAGAGGCAGGCAGAGAGAGAGTCGGGGGGAAGCAGGCTCCCTGCCGTGCAGAGAGCCCGATGCGGGGTTTGATCCCAGGACCCCAGGACCATGACCTGAGCCAAAGGCAGAGGCTTTAACCCACTGAGCCACCCAGGCGCCCCCTCATGAGTATTCTTTATTGAGGAAATTAACCTTTGCCTATCATAGTTTTAGGATTTTTTTCAGTTTATTGTTGGTAAATTGTTGATATTATATATCTGTAATAAAAAAGAGTCACCTTTCAATATCATCTAAGGCCATGGTTCTCAAATTTTGGGGTACATCAGAATCAGCTGGATAGTCTTTTAAAATATAGATTGTTGTGTTCCACTGTCAGAGTTTCAGACTTTGTAGATCTCAAGGAGGGTCTGAGAATTTTCATTTCTAACAAGTTCCTAGATGCTAGTCATCCTTGGGCCATACTTTGAGACCCACTAATCTAGACTAGATCCTGGCTCTACTGAGCCTGGGGAACTTTTATCATTCTTGGCCCCACCCCATAAGTGATTTTATTAACCTGACAGGGAGTATGGGTATTTAAAAAAAAAAAAATTCTCAGTGGCTTCTAATCTTGCTCTCTCTTTGCTGTCTTATAGTAGAAGAGGAAGCTGTGATTTTTGTGGCTGTGTATTTGTCATTTGTTATTGTAGCCTTGGTTTTCTAAAAATGAATGTTTTTGTCTGTGCAGTGCTGAAACCACTAAGTAATGTTCTGTTGAAATATTGATTACAATAATTTCATTTTCATAATTTGCATATTCAAGGATTTATAGTTTTAGGAAATCTTTCTGTTCTTGGTGTAGTTGCCATTTTCTTAATTACTGCTTTATGGGTACTAATTAAACTCTGTTTAAAAGCATCTGCCTGCCAGGCCTTCCTACTAGCCCTGTCCTCCTCCAGGCCCATAACTCGTAATTGCTCCTGTCCTAGTGCTTGAGAGATTGTGTCAAGGCTGCTAGGCACTGCCTTTCTTCCAAAGTGCTGGTGCTACTGTTCAGTCTTGTGTTCATCACTGCTTCTGTCAGTCTTGTGTTCATCACAGAAGAGGATCACGCTCTTTTGGCTAGCCACCTTTTCACAGAAGGCCTCCTCGTGGGTTGCTGGCTTTGGGTCCGGCACCAGCCCCATGTCCAAGTAGAAAATAGGCCACATACCAGAAACTACTTAGAAAGGGGCTGTGGGTACAGCCAATGTAATGAGACTTTTTCCAAGAGGGCCTTGCATGGGCCATGCAGTGGAACCCCTTCACTTAGTCATGTGACCTCTGCAAAGTGGAGCCTCGCTTTACCTGTCTAGAAAATATGGGACTATAATATCAATTTCACAGTGTTGCAAGGATACAAAGAGGTGCAATGCTTGAAGCTTGATAGATATTAGTTTGATATTTCCTTTCTTTCTCACAGCTTTGAGGGAGCCAGAATTTGTAATGACCAAGGGAATGAGAAACCTGGGAGAAATGGGTAGAGTTAAGGTGTTCTATACTTAGCTGTGCATCCCTAATTTACTTTAAATTAACAGGATTATTTCTCATCCATAATAGAGAACAGCATACTAAAATACCCACGTGTAAAATCTTATTAAAATGTGGTACAAAATAATTGAATACAATACCTCTCTAAATAATAGTTAAAGGAAGTCTGTGTAGGAAGAAGATATCCTTTGATGAAAACTGTCCATGTATGAATGATACTTAATTTTCCTGTATTCACCAAAAGCGAAGTGAGGGCTTAAAATTGGTATTTGATTATCTGGCTATAACTTCTTTCTTTTTTTTTTTTTTTAATTTTTCTCTAATGTAACAATGGGACTAGAGCACTGGATTGCCATAAAGATAAAGTTGGAACTTTTCCAATTGGAATTCAGATAAAATCGATTTCACAGATTTCAGCAATATTTTACCTTCAATCAGTTACACTCTAAAATCTATTTTAATGTGTGTTATTTATACAATATGAATGACTTCTTTGTCAGTGTTAGTATTTATAGATTCTCCAGAGGGCTTAGTCCACTTTTAGCTTTTTAAAATTTATGTGAGACTTCCATGCTAACGAAGTAAAGTAGAAATTTCACTTTATCTAGAGGTTAAAAATAGTAAGTGCTTAATGTGAATGTTTTGATTTTTCTGAGTAAAGGAGAGCTAGAAAATGTCATTTGTATACTTTGCAGTGTGAAGGTAGACTTATCTGGAGTTTTCTTGTCTTTTAATCCTTAATTCAAATAGAATACATTTGTAGCAACTTTCATCTATTTTGTCCTCACTGTTTGTGGAATAGTTCCCTTTAGGGTTTAAACCTGATAATTGCAATAGTTTTGAGATGCAATAATTTTTTAGATGAATTTAAATAATTCAATTGAAAATCAGCAAAGAAGGAGAAGGTAAACAAACACACCTAAAAGAAGCTCAAAGACTGCTTAGGGTGACAAACCATCATGCATGTGTTTTTGTAAAAAGGGAGATGGGAGCCGTTTTAGAGTAAACCACATGTAGTGTTCCTGGGCTGTTCACAGGGACAGGCAGAGGAGAAACAAAGCTGGATATGATCCCGTGTCCAACCAGCTAGAGCAGGTAACATGCTCAGAGGAAGGCAGTGTGCTCATTGCTATGAATGGTTTATTGTGTGATGGAAGGATTCAGTGGTTCATTCTAGAAGGAGGGAGACGTCAGTGAGAGGGGATGTTATAATTGGGTCTTGCAAGATTGTTCAGTAGGCAGCTGAGGTAACAGGGTCAGAACACCAAGGGTTCTGTGTTTCAAGAACAGAGGGTGGTCTGCTGTGACCAGGGTAGGTGTGTGGTGGGGCGTGTGGGAATTGAGGCTGGACAGGGATGTGAGGGGCCTGAGGGCCGTGTGGGTTCCATGAATCCCTGGGCATCCATGAGATAGGCCTCAGATGGAGCAGAGCCCCTGAGCCTATATGCCAAGGTTTGAGTTATGGCCTCTGTGCATATCTGGAGGGTGAGCGTGCAGTTTTCAAAGGATTGGGGCAAAAAAGGATAAAACACAAACAAACAAAAACCATTGCTTTCAGCAGATGAATAATATGACTAAGATGGTATTCAGAAAGATTATTCTGATGAGAAATTGAAAAATGGATGAGAACGGGGAAACACTAGAATCTGAAAGCTTTCTGAGGGGGCCAAGAGGAATGACAAGAGCATGTGCTGAAACCGTGGCA